GGAGAGAATATCTTTTTCAACAAATGGTATTGGGACAATTGGACATCTGTATGCAAAGGCAGAATGTAGACACAGACCTTTCCCCTTTCACAAAAGTCAACTCCAAATGGCTCACAGACCTGTATGGAAAATACAAGACTGTGAAACTTTGAAACTTCTAGAAGAAGCATTGGAGAAAATGTAGGTACCTTGGGTTTGATGATGAGTTTTCAGATACAATACCAAAAGCATGATCCATGAAAGAGAAAATGGACAAGTTGGATTTTGTTAAAACTTTCTTCTCTGAGAAGGACAATATTAAGAAAATGAAAAGACAAACCATGGATTGGGAGAAAACATTTGCCAAAGTCATATGCAATAAAGGGCTGATATCCAAAACAAAAAACAAAAAACAAAAAACCCACAAAGAATTTGTAAAACCCAGCAAGAAAACCAATTTAAAAATGGTCAGATATTTAGACAGATATCTCACAAAGAGGATGCTTAGTATCATATGTCTTTAAGGAATTGAAAATTAAACAATGAGATATCCCTGTACACCTATTTAAATGGCTAAAATTTAACATCTAACAATGCCAAATGTTGACAAGATTCAGGACAACAAACTCTCATTTTTTACTGGTAGAGATTCAAAGTGGTGCAGGCACTTTGGAAGGCAGTTTAGTGGGTTTTGTTTTTTGTTTTTTGTTTTTTTTACAGTGCTAAACATAAAGTTACATAATCTAGCAATTCCCCTCCTAGGCATTTATCCAACTGAGGAGGAAACATAATCACACAAAAACCTGCAGACAAATGTTTATAGCAGAGTTATTAATAATTACCCAAAGCTGAAAGCATGTAAGATGGCTTTAAATAGATGAATGGATAAACTGATACATCAGTTGAATATTATAGAGCAATAGAACATAGTGAGAAAACTTGCCACTAAAAGAGAAGAACCTTAAATGAATATTGCTAAGTGAAGGACATGAATCTCAACAGACACATACTGTATCATTCCAAGTATGACATTGTAGACAAGGCAAAACTGTGGAGACATTAAAAAGATCAGTGGTGGGGTGCCTGGGTGGCTCTGTTGGTAACCATCCGACTTCGGTTCAGGTCATGACTTCACAGTTCATGGGTTCGAGTCCAGTTCATGGGTTCAGCTGTGCCGACAGCTCAGATCCTGGAGCCTGCTTCCCCTACTTGTGTTCCGTCTCTCTCCCTCGAAAATAAATAACATTAAAAAAATAAAAGATCAGTGGTTAACAGGTCTTCATGAGAAGGAGGGAAAGGATGAACAGGTGAATCAGGTGATGTTTAGGCGGGTGAACTCTTCTATATAATATTGTAACAGCGGATATATGTCATCATCCATTTGTCAGAACCCATAAAACGCATTGTACAGCCCAGAGAGCAAACCTTAACCTAAACTGTGGACTTTAGTTAATAATTACCAGTATTTATTAGTTGTAACAAATGTGCCACACTAATGCAAAATGTTCATAATAGGGGGAAATAATGTTTCAGGATGGAGGGTATTTTATGGGAACTCTGTGTACTATCTTTTAATTTTTCAAAGGGGAGATAAGTGAATGTTAGAGATGTTTAAACCATTCGTGGACAAAACTGAAACCTTTTACAAAGTATAACAAACTAACTTTTCAAAGTTGAAAAGAAAGGGAGGGAACCCTATAGTAAATGTCTTAATAATTAAAAAGTGACAGCTTTTTCTCTGAAATGGCAATGAGAAAAATATGTCTTTCATTACCATTATTGACCCTAGAAAAGCTCATATATTAATGAGTTTGGAAGTGTTGGTGGATACAAGGTAAATATGTAGAGATTATGTACGCTAGCATCAATTAGAAAATGACATTGAAGGGGCGTTTGGTTGGCTCAGTCGGTCTGTAGAGCATGTGACTCTTGAACTTCAAGGTCATGAGTTCAAACCCCATGTTGGACATAAAGCTTAAAAAAAAAGAGAGGGGTGTGTGGGTGTCTCAATCAGTTAAGCATTGGACTCTTGGTCTCAGCTTAGGACTTGATCTCAGGGTCTTAGGTTTAAGCTCCACATTGGGCTCCATGCTGGGCATGAAGCCTACTTAAAAAAAAAAAAAAGACATTAAAAAATTCCATTTTATTTATTTTTTGTTAATGTTTATTTACTTTGGGGGGGGAGGGGCAGAGAGAGAAGGAGATGCAGATTCCGAAGCAGGCTCCAGGCTCTAAGCTGTCAGCACAGGTGCGGGGCTCGAACCCATGGACTGCAAGATCATGACCTGAGCTGAAGTCAGATGCTCAACTGACTGAACAACCCAGGCGCCCCTAAAACATCCCATTTTAATAGTAACATGTCAAATAACTGGGGGAGAGGGGGAGGAATCTAAAGATGAACAGAAAAGCTATGTGGAAAACTGCAAAAATTACTGTGAGAAATTAAAGATGTCCTAAATAAATAATGGAATATATCATGTTTCTTGATTGGAAGACTTAATATTGTGAAGATTTCATTCTCCCCAAAGTTTCTATAAATGCAATGTAATCCCAATAAATATTACATAAAGTTTTCTTATGAAAATTGACGTGCTGATTCTGAAATGTAAGTGGAAATTCTAAGAACCAAGAATAGCCAAGGTAATCTTGATGAAGAACAAAATTGAAGGCCTTACATTAACAGACATCAAGACTTAGAAAGGTTCATAATTGAACAGAGTCTTACAAAGTCCAGAAGCATGTTCACCCCTGTATCCCCCATATATATTTGCTTATAACCAAGTTGCCATTGCAATACTTTTCTAATGAAGGGTGAAATCACATTTGAGGTAGGAAGCAATTTCCAGGAAAAAAAAAAAAATGCTTTGGAAAGGCCAGAACTCAACTTCCCATGGCTCTGACTCCTCTAGCTAGCTCTGTTTCTATTGCCAGTGTTCCAGGCTCTACCATTCAGGGCATTTATTTTATTCACTGAAACATTCAGGAATTTGGCTTAGGCTGCACTTTGGCAGTTTGGAGTCCTCTCATGCCTATTTAACTTGTGCAAATTCAACTACATGTTTTCATGGGGCAATGAGGAAAGGGAAAATAACATAAATACTACAGACAATCTACTTTTTCATTCAGCAACCGTAAAATCTGGCAGTAGGCATGAGATGAGAAATGTAAATTTGTGTTCCAGCCATTGGTTCTCGTGTGTGTCTGGGTATGGGAGCATTTTGCTTCCGTTAGTGTGATTGTAGCATTCAAAGATACGTGTTTTCCATGCGTATTTTTCTGTGGAAACACAATGACTTCAGTTGCTCTTTAGATGAAGAAATAGCATCTGGTCCAATCCTGAAGGAAAAACAGCCATGTTTCTAAGGCTGTGTGTATGCTGGTCAGAGGCTTAGGCTCTGAAGCCAGACTACCTGGGTTTAAATCCTAGCTCTGCTCTTACCTCTCTGGACTCTGCGTCATAGTCTGAAAAAAACAGAGATAACGTCTCATAACAGCACTGTGACAGTGAAGTGGCTAACACAAACTGTGGCTAGCACATGGCAAGCGCAGACTCAGAGTTGCCTGTTTTTATTAATATCAATACAATTGTTCTTCCTAAGACGTGATAGAAAGTGGTCTCCAGAGTTGTACAGTTTTAAGGGATTTTCAAGGGAAATTGAGCGAACCCCTTTTCCCCGCTAGGCTTCTACTTCAGAGCTCAGCCCCAGCAGGAAACACTCTGCTCTACCGCACCCCTTTCTCCGTCTGGTCCTGCATCTGGTCCTGCATCAGTCGTGGCTCATTGTGGAGTGGTCACCCGGCACAGAGCATGGACGTTTGAGGCAGAAGGGCCTTTTGTAGGGGGGGCGGGGGAGAAGATGTATTTCCCTAGAGGAAGGAAGGTGTTTGCAGACACACGGAAATGTGGTCGGCAGGTGTGTATGCACGCATTTTCAGCCACCACCATTTTCCTATATACAAAGTTGTGCCGAGTCCTTTCCGGCTGGGGCAGCCGCAGGCCTCTGTCCTTGGCTTCCCGCTGGACCGTGAGTGAGCCCCCCCACTCCCCCGCGTGTCTGCACACCAGCGGTGCGGCCTGCGAGGCTGTCCTGAGTGCAGGGACCGCCCCTCTGCACCGACTGCTACCTTTGAAGAACCTCACAGGCGGCTGCTTGCCATCCTACCTTCCTCCCCTTTCCGCACACAGATGCAGACTTTCGCATTTACCTTCCAGAACTGTGAGCACTGAGATCCCCGGATTGTCCCTGACCTCGTCCTCCGTCACCTTTCTTCTCGCAGAAGAGCCGCCCTTTGTTTTCAGCTGTCACCGCACAGCACAGAGACACACGCAGCTCTTTGCCATGTGCAGTCAGCGGGCCTCCTCCAGGCCCTCGCCAGGCCCCCGCCCTGCTGACAGCTGCCGCTTCTGTTCACTTCTCTGCTTTTCTTTTTCCCCATCTTTCTCATCTTCTGTGCTTCTTGGCTTTTGCCCAGGACAAACTGGTCACTTACAGAACTTCCCAGTGGATGGGCTCCATCTTTCTGCCTTATGATCAAACACGTCAAAGCCAAATGGGTTTTAGCATTGAGTTTTGCTTGACCATGGTATCTGAGGCTCAGGCATCTGAGCCTGTTTGGCACATCTACCAAAGGAGGGGTTTGGGCCATGAGACATGTGTTAGGGACCTGAGAATTAGAAGGGTTTAACTCTCCCTTGGCTTAGTGTCTGGGGGCTTTCTAACAGAACAAGTTATGATCTAGTGTCCCGTGTCCATGTCTTAGAACAAGGGACATAAAAGCTTAATTGGTTCTGTTTTAAGGGGATTTTGTAGCGCGTTTAAAACAGCTTTGGAACCTGTGGACATTTAATTTCTCGCAGTAGCGATGTTAGAATTATAGTGAGCTTGGCTATTGCAAATTGAGGTGTCTTGAAAAAACTTATGATATATCCAGATGGCACATTAGATTTTATCTTTAAAGTTGTAATATCCTAGACTGTTCATACTATCTCATTGTTTTTTGTTTTTCCCCTTTCTTCCTAGAATATTTTCCTTCTTGGATATAGTAACTTTGTGCCGATGTGCACAGATTTCCAAGGTAGAGTATTAACCAGATTTTTATCAATCAATAAATATCAAGTTGTATTAGAATGAGAATGAGTTTTAGTTCAAGCATGCAGTTAATTTTAATATCATTTTTTATATTTAATGTAATACAGTGTTACTGTAATTCCGTATTTGATTGTCAGCTTAATGTATATCAAGAATAAAAGTTTAGGGGCACCTGGCTGGCTGGGTAGGTAGATAATGGGACACTTGATCTTAGTGTTGTCAGTTCGAGTGCCACATTGGGTGTAGAGATGACTTAAAAATAAAATCTTTCCAAAATAAATAAATAAATAAATAAAAGTTAGAAAATACAGAGATTGAATCAAGGCTTCCTTTAACAGTCTCTTTCACCCCTGTCTCTCCCTCTCTACCTCTCTACCTCCCACCTCCCAGGCCTGGAACGTTTTAGCCTTGGATGGAAGCAACTGGCAAAGAATAGACCTTTTTAACTTTCAAACAGATGTAGAGGTAAGTTAGCTTGATTTTAGACAAAAAACTTTTTAAAAAGATGAGTAAACTGGTCACTCTTTCCTGCCTTCTTATTTTGCTGCGTTTAGACTTAATGTTAAGACCTAGAAGGCATCTGCATACATCAGGGCCAAAATTCTGCTTGTATTTTGCTTTGGGTTCTGTATCAGACTACTTTTCTTCCTTGGTCATGTTTATAACCTTAGTATTATTACTGAGCTTTTAAAAACCCCATTCCTGCATCATTAACACCTGGTTCAGTGCTTTAACCTTAGGAGACCCTTGACAAATATTTATTGATCTGAAAGATTCACTGGGAGTTCTAATTCAGCAGCGAGAATGGAGAAGTAGCAGAAGCCTGGGTCCCGGAGTGAAGCTGGAGACCTGAACTATCTCTCCTGCTCAGCCACTTACGTCATATACTATCTCAATGTTTCCGTGCTATTATCTATAAAACAAAGAAGCAAAATCATCCTTAAAGCCTTTTATAATTCTAGGATTCTGATGTCTTTATCTACAAATATGTGAATATCTCCATTTAAGAGTGATCAGCGTGAGCTAATGAGAAAAGTTTATTTTAAAGCAACTTTAATGTTGAAAAACAATTTATAACCAAAAAGAGAGAGAGGTAGCATTGCACATAGTAATTGTCTAGAGGACTGTTTTAGGGGGTTCAGATTCTGAAGTTCATCTACCTCATGTTAGGAAAACCTTGTTTATTTCTAGTTTAGCCAACTCAGTTATAGTCATGGAATTGTATTCTGATTCGGTTCCTCATATAGCATTTTCATCAAGCATTTTTGCCAAAGCGTACGTTTTGTGTCTTTCTTAATGGATGAGGAAATAATCGTGCTTGACGGGGAGTTGAGCCTGAACAATCCCCCGGGAGTTAGGTCCCGCAGTGTTACTTCGGAGAGCTAATGCCAGTTGTGGGGCTCCCTCAACTCCTCTTCCAGGGGATCAGCGGGAGAGTCTCCAGTCCCATCTCACACCAGTGGCGCAGAGGTCCGCGGCAGGGGTGCTGAGCCTGGGTTTCCCGCTGTGGGTTTCCCCCCTGGCGGTGGTGGTCTGAGCTTGGAAGACCTCAGAGCTTCACGCCCAGCCTGGGAAGATAAACTCTTTGATGACTTGGACTATGGTCCCCGGGTTAGGGGGTGAGGACTTCTTTAATGCTCTTTCCAGACTTAACAGCAGTGACTGCAACAGCGCCCCACCTGAGCATGCTGACTTGTGATTCCCCTTCATACCGATCATCTCTAGATCTGTGTTCATTATGTTTACTTAGTGATGTCGAGAAGCACGTCAGATTCCAAAAAGTGTAGTCATTTATACTGGCCAAAGGAGAGTCATTGTTTTTCTTACAAATTTGCAAATGACTCATTCTTATTCTGTGCCCCTTATCGTCGCCTCAGTGTTCTTTGATGGTTTTTCCAAACTATACAACTTTTTGAAAGCACATTTAAAACATTCAGGTTCAGATTTTTAAAAAGACTATTTGAAGTAAATAGCACTACCTTATGCATTATTTGATTTTAGAATTTTAGCAGACAGCTGACTGCAGCTCTGTAAACACATTGCAGAAGTAAGAGTACGTACTTCCACTAAAGAGAGACTAGCTTATGGCTCACCGGTGATGTAAGCAGTGCTTGTGAAGACTTGAAATAGCTGGTAGCAGGATTTCAGTCTAGACTAAAATGATTTAGTCACCCTTGTGGGCTAGCAATTTGAAGCCAGTTTGGATTCAAGTGTGGGGGCCCCTATATTCTCTAAGTAAGGCCCATTGGATACTCACCCTGGGAAGCATTCCGTGGATAAGCTAATCGTCTCAAATCTATTCGTGTGGGATGAAAATGATGACTTATGGATATGTTGAGAGACAGGAAGGTACCAAGTTTCCGGATTAATAGGCTAATAGTATTTACTATATGCCTGGCACTATTTGTGCAACTTAGATGTATTCATTTAATCTTCTCAGAAACACCATATTGAAGACACTGAGGCTCAGAAGGTTTGAGTAACTTACCCAAGGTCATTCACCCAGTAAGACAAGGCAGTAGGTACCTTGAACACAATGGCTCACGTGACTGTCATGTCTCAGAGAAAAGGCAGAATAGTGTCCAGATGGCACATGTGCTTTGGGCCTTCCCTCGAGCATCACCCTTTCCTGAATAAGATGTCGAGGCATTTTCTGTGCCTTTAAAGTTGGATATTTTTTTGCCGTTGTCTTCTTGGTTATTAAAGATCCAGCCAGGCCAAAAGTGAGCAATAACCAAGTAGCATGTTAGTCTAAAAATTAGAACTCCAGGGGCGCCTGGGTGGCTTAGTCGGTTAAGCGTCCGACTTTCACTTAGGTCATGATCTCGCGGTTTGTGGGTTCGAGCCCCGTGTCGGGCTCTGTGCTGACTGCTAGCTCAGAGCCTGGAGCCTGTTTCAGAGTCTGTGTCTCCCTCTCTCTCTGACCCTCCCCTGCTCACACTGTCTCTCTCTCTCTCTCTCCTAGAAATAAATAAAAACATTAAAAAAATTTAAATAAATAAATAAATAAAAATTAGAACTCCAAAAGGCCCTCCATTTAGGCTTTATTTTTCTCTAAACCCCTTCATTCCAGAACCCACACCTACAACATATTATCTAAATGGATAATACACAGCCATTGAATTTTGCACTTAGAAAGGATGTGCTCATTTTTTATTTTTCCCTCATGGAAACAGAGGAGTGGAAAATTCTGAATGTAATTTTTTTTATTCCAGTACAAAAGCCTTTACTCCAAAGAAAGGAAGAATAGAAAGCTTATATAAATGTAACTAACTTGAAATGGAGCAAAATATGTTGTGTGCTCCGTTTGTAGACATTGCTATGGAGGGGTTTTTGGTGTTTTATGCTGTACTTAAATATTTATTTATCTTGGACTTCCAAGTCATAATCTTTTCTTCCCTCTAATGACAGAGATTTGTTAACGTAGGTATTACTCAAGAAAGCATAAATAAAGCTGCTAGCAATATCAAAGTTTATTTTTCATCTTTTAAAAAAAATTTATTGTTTAAATTCAAGTTAGTTAACATACGGTGCAATATTGGTTTCAGGAGTAGAATTTAGTGATTCACCACTTACATACACCACCCAGTGCTCGTCCCAACAAGTGCCCTCCTCAATGCCCATCACCCATTTAACACCTCCCCCACTTCCTACCTCCCCTCCAGCAACCCTTAGTTTGTTCTCTGAATTTAGGAGTCTCCCCCTCCCTGTTTTTATCTTATTTCACCTTCCTTTCCCCTATTTCATCTGTTGTGTTTCTTAAATTCCATATGTGAGTAAAATCATATGATTTCATTTTTCTTTGCCTGACTTATTTCCCTTAGCATAATACACTCTAGCTCCATCCGCATTGCTGCAAATGGCAAGATTTTGTTCTTTTTTGTTCACCGAGTAGTATTCCTTTGTATACATATACCACCTCCTCTTCATCCGTTCGTCACTTAGCCAGGTAACGACACACGTACACCTGCTCCCGTGATCCTGTGGTTTGATGAGATCCAGTGAATTGTTCGTGCTTACACTTCAGGGCTAAGATTGCTATTCATATAGTGAGGACAATAGTAGTTTTTTTTAAATCCAAGTGGCCTTTTTTTTCAGTATTTCCTACCTTGTAGAGGTGGTAGTTATGCAGAGTACACAGCCTTCAGAATCATATAAACCTGTTAGAACCCTAACACTACCACTCACTAATGCATATGCGTCTCCTTAATCTGCACTTAATCTCCAAAGAAAGAGAAGAACAAGGTCATAATTCCATGTAATGCGATACAAGTATCCAGTGTACAAGTGAAAACACACTAACTCCTTCCTCAGAAGCAGAGATAAAGTCCTTGAGTGATGCTCACTCTTCCTGATATCCTGTATCTTAAATATTATGATACAGAATCAACACTAAATACCATGATGTGGTGATCTCCCTTTACATAAGGGAACAGGAGAGGAAAGAGAACAAACGTGGGGCGCCTGGGTGTCTCAGTCAGTTAGGTGTCTTCCTCCTGATTTCAGCTCGGGTCATGATCTCACTGTGGTGAGATTGAGCCCCACGTCGGGCTCTGTGCTGGGCAGGAAGCCTGTTTAAGATTCTCACTCCCTCACCTGCCCCTCCCCCACTCATACACTCTCTCTTAAAAACAAACGTATTATCTTTACACACACTCATAACAAAATAGGGAGAAGCACTCATGACAATTGCACTTTTCATTTCTGTAATTGGTCGCATGGTGGTAGTTGGGATTCATAGCTCCCTTCTTCTGCTGCCCATTCCATGCTCACTTTCTCTCTGGCCAGCACCCCATCTAGTCGTGCTTCGTTACCTGGGAGAATAACCCAAACCATTGTTTCTGAAGTGTGTGTGTCATTGGCCGTTCTGCCTGGATTGACCTGTAGTTTTCTATTGACTTGAATCACAGGGCGTGGTAATGCTAAGGGACATAGTCTGTCGTAGTAGTAGACCCTGAAGTGGTGGATATTAGATGAGTCATAATAAGGACAAGAAGGTGTTAAAAGCACACCTGAAAATGTGAAAGTGTTTAATCAATGTTTATTTGCCCCCCTTTCATATATCGGCTAGCCCAAGTTCCTTTTTCAAAGGAAATGTGTTGAAATAGGGATTTCCAAGAAGAATGAGGGGGAGCTTTTCCGATACATTTTCGAACTTCTTGTGTGGTACTGTTTAGCTAAAATAAAATTTCTCTTTTTTAAGCAATATTGTTTTAGGTCTCTGCCCAGCAGCCAGTGCTCCCATAGCTGACTTCAAAAGCCTTGTCACTGGCGGAGCAGCTGTGAGCCCTCGGGAGGGGAGGCCTAGCCCCAGGGCTAAAACTTCCAAAAAATTGTGCCCTGTGGTTGTGGTTTTTTTAAACACTTAATGCTTTAATTGAAAATATTTTTCAGTGCTTGCAGCCCCTTTATCCACTAGAAAGTAGGTGGGGGTATTGGAAGAATGTTCCAGAGTAGCTTCTTGTACACCTGGGGAAATTCTGCAGTTTCTAAATTTCTGAATTTCAGGCTGTTGTGCCGTTAGACAAGCAGCGGGAAAACTAAGGCATTTCCCCGACTTCCTTGATTCCAGGGCCGAGTGGTGGAAAACATCTCCAAGCGATGCGGTGGGTTCCTGCGGAAGCTCAGCCTGCGGGGCTGCATCGGCGTCGGGGACTCCTCCCTGAAGTGAGTGCTCCACCGCGTCCTCTCACCGGCATTAAGTGCTTTTCTTCTGCGAACTTCTTCCTATGGTAGTTTGTGTAGGTTAGTAAAGGAACCAGGCCCCCCGAGTCCGCAAGCCCCCGGCAGTCCACAGGCCCCCGCAGTCCGCAGGCCCCCCCCCACCCCCCGGGCCGCAGGCCCCCGTAGTCCGCAGCCCCCCCACCCAGTCCGCAGGCCCCCGTAGTCCGCAGCCCCCCCACCCAGTCCGCAGGTCCCCCGAGTCCGCAGGCCCCCGCAGTCCGCAGGCCCCCCCAGTCCGCAGGCCCCTGCAGTCCGCAGGCCCCCCCCCACCCCCCGGGCCGCAGGCCCCCGTAGTCAGCAGCCCCCCCACCCAGTCCGCAGGCCCTCGTAGTCCGCAGCCCCCCCACCCAGTCCGCAGGTCCCCCGAGTCCGCAGGCCCCTGCAGTCCGCAGGCCCCCCCCCACCCCCCGGGCCGCAGGTCAGGGTCAGGGATGTGCCCTGAGGCTGCACCACCCACCTCGCCGGGGTCCGTTCTCCGGGCCGCAAAGTGACAGCGCCTCTGGCCCCGGCGTGAGAATGTTACGCGTATCCCACGACACGGCACAGATGAAGTGTCTGATGCAGAAGAACATAATGGTTCACCTCTCTGTCCCCTGCTTCACCTTCCCTTCTTCCCAGCTTCACCTTCAAAAAGTGACCACCATTTTATATATGATGTTACTTGACGAAATAATTCTTTCAGAAACTTCCTGAGCGTAACCTGGACTTTTGCGTCCTAAAGGGATGTGATGATCACACTCGTTCTATTATAGCTAACGCCAAATGAACGCTCGCCCACCTCTTACTGGGTAGCCGTTATTCATGAAAATGTTATCAGTCCACTGCTAAGAACACGTGCTTTTTGGAGACAAGACATAATTAAAACCTTTATGTTCATATCCTTGAGGCCTCTACTGCTGTTTGAGGTTGGCTAAATTAGAAGAGCACTGCCCCCTAGCACCGTGGGACAGACTTTGTCTCTGTAGACCAAGCGTCACCAGCATCCATCCAAGTGCCAGTAAGGATGTGCAGTAACATTACAGGCGGCATAACTTGTAGTTGAACTCCTGCTGCGCCATGGCTAAGAAAATAGATTCGTAACATATTTTTAAATGTCTGTGTATTTATTCTGAGAGAGAGACAGCAAGAGCAGGGGAAGAGAGAAAGGGAGAGAGCAAATCCCAAGCAGTCTCTACGCTGTCAGAGCGGGGCTCGACTTGGGGCTTGATCTCACCAACAGTGAGGTCATACCTGAGCCCAAATCAAGAGTCAGATGCCGAACCCACGGAGCCCCCCAGGTGCCCCCATTCATTCTATATTTTAAGGACATAACACTCTCTTTAAATGTTAAGGAACAAAGTTTTGTTTTTCTTTAATCAAGAAATTCAGATCATCAGACCAAATTTTCTGCTACTTCCAAAGTCTGGCAAACTGATGGAATAGAATAATTCTATTTTAATATGAAGCCTCAATGTACCAAAGAGGTCCTAAGCTAATTTATAATAGAGATTTAAAAAATTAAATAAGTGTGAAGATGTGGATTATAGCTAAGGAATATCAAAGAAATATATTCTTACCTTGGCAGTTGGAATAAAGCCATATATACTAGCAAAACTATTCTGTAAGGCTGGGAATGGTATTGATTTACCATAATTTTTATAGTAGAAGTCTGTGTTAATATCTTACACATCTCTAATATGTGAGACCAGATTACTGTGAGAAAAAGTGAGAAGCATAATCCCAGAATTATGACTCAGAATCGGTGTCCGGGACTCCTCCCTGAAGTGAGTGCTCCACCGCGTCCTCTCACCGGCATTAAGTGCTTTTCTTCTGCGAACTTCTCCCTATGGTAGTTTGTGTGGGGTAGTAAAGGAACCAGGCCCCCAGAGTCCGCAAGCCCCCGGCAGTCCATGTCTTCAGTTTCTTTTTAATTAAAAAATCATTTTTAAACATTTATTTATTTTTGAAAGACGGAGACAAAGCATGAGCAGGGGAGGGGCAGAGAGAGAGGGACACACAGAATGTGAAGCGGGCTCCAGGCTCTGAGCTGTCAGCACAGAGCCCAGTGCAGGGCTCGAACCCACGAACCGTGAGATCATGGCCTGAGCCCCACAGGCGCCCCTCCAGTTTTTATCGTAATCCCCTGGAGCTAGCTCGGCTTCTACTCTCTTCCTCTTGTATCGTGTTGTTGTGGTGGTGGTTGTGGTGGTGGTGGTTGCTGCTGATGATGATGGAGGGAGGCTATTCATTTTCAAATGTTTGTTGAGCCCTACACCAGGCACTAATCTAGGGAATGGACATACAGTAATAATCAAAAGAGATTAAAACCCCAGTACTAATCTTACATGTGTATTCTCTGTAACTCTTCCTCTATCATTATCTATGAAGTCCTGTGGATTTTTAACAGCTTTATTGAGATATAATTGAGATACAGTAAACTGTATGTACTTAAAGGGTATGATTTGATCATTTTAGGCATATATACACACATATATATACACACACACATACACCCATAGAACCAACGGTAATCAAAATAATGAACATAGACACGTCCCATGAAAGTTTCCTCAAGTGCCTTTATAATCCCTCCCTCCCTCCTACCCTGTGTCTGCCCCACTGCTAGACAACCACTGATCTGCTCTCTGGTACTATAGGTTTGTTTGAATTTTCAAAAGCTTTTATGTAATTATGCAGTATGTACTCCTTTTTTGCCTGGCCTCTTTCACTCAACATAATTGTTTTGAGTGAGATCCACTTTATTCTTTTCAAAATTGTTTTGGCTGTTCTAGACCCATTGCATTTTCATATAAATTATACAATCAGCTTGTCAATTTCTACAAAAAAACTTTTTCCAGGATCTTGATTTGAGATGATGCTGAATCCATAGATCAATTTGGGGAGAACTGACATCTTAACAGTATTGAGTCTTCCAACTCATGAACATGGTACATCTCTCCATATAGTTAGGTGTGTTAAAATTTCTTTCAGCATGTTTCATAGTTTCTAGTATTACAATTATACACATCTTCTGTCATATTTATCTGTGTTATGAAATATTATTGTAAGTGGTATTTTTTGTTTCAATTTTTGATTCTTCATTGTCAGTAAACAGAAATACTATTGATTTTTGTACATTGATCATTTGTCCTTAAACCTTAATAGACCTTTCCGTAGCTATTTGTTTGCTACTTTGGATTTTCTGCATAAACAATCATGTCACCTATCATCAAAGATAGACTTTCTTCTTTGTTTCCAATCAGTGCCTTTTCTTATTCTTGCCTAGTTACACTAGCTAAAATCTCTAGTACAGTGTTGAATAGAAATAGTGAAAACAGACTTCGTAGCCAGTCTGTGAGCTTAGGGGGAAGGCATCCAAATATGGTGTTAACTATAGACTTTTTTGCTGATGATCATCAAATTGGGGACATTTTCTTCTATTTCTAGTTGGCTGAGGGTTTTTCTTTTCAATTGAGTGTGGGTGTTAGATTTTGTCAAATTTGTTTTCTGTGTTGTTTAGATCATTGTATGGTTTTTCTTATTTAGTTAGCGTGGTGAATTACATCGGGTGATTTTTGAATGTTAAACCCACTTTCCGTTCCTTGGATAAACACTGTTTGAATCCTCATGTATTATATTTTTTATATATTGGTGTGTTCTATTTGCTAAAATTGTGTTAATTTTTTTGCTTCTATGTTCACGAGGGATATAGTTCTTTGGTTTTCTTTCTTTCTTTTTTTTTTAATTTCTAGGAGAGAGAGAGAGAGAGAGAGACAGTGTGAGCAGGGGAGGGTCAGAGAGAGAGGGAGATACAGACTCTGAAATAGGCTCCAGGCTCTGAGCTGGCAGTCAGCACAGAAACAGAAGCGGGGCTCGAACCCACAAACCGCGAGATCATGACCTAAGCGAAAGTCAGACGCTTAACCGACTAAGGCACCCAGGCGCACCTTTGGTTTTCTTTTCTTGTTATTTTTTTTGTCTGATTTGGGTATCAAGTAATACTGGCCTCATATAATGAATTGAGAAGTGTTTCCTCCCCTTCAGGATTTTGGAAGAATTTAAATAGAATTTTATTATTATTTTCTCCTTAAATGTTTGGTAGAATTCACCATTGAGGCCATCTGGGCCTGTATGTTTCTTTTTCAGGTTTTTAACTACAAATTCTATTTATTTAATATATGTAGAACTCTTCATGTTTTCTATTCCTTCTTGAGCAACCTTTGGTATAATTTTTATCTTTCAAAGATTTTGCCCGTTTCATCTAAGTTCTTAAATTTATAGTCATAAAGTTGTTAATAATATCTTTTCTTCTTATTTTATTTATTTATTTAAGTAAACCCTACCTCCAACATGGGGCTCAAACTCACAACACTGAGATCAAAAGTCACATGCTCTACTGACTGAGCCAACTAGACATCCCCACCTTCTGATTATCATTTTAATATTGTAAAATCTGCAGTGATACCTCCTCACTTTATTCCTGATGTTGGTTAATAGGTATGGGTATTTTCCCTCTTGTGCTTTCTCCCCGCTGTAGTCATCCTGGCTTCAGGTTTATTAATTTTAATGATACTCACAAAGAACCAACTCTGGGTTTTGTTGATTTTTTTTCATTATTTTTCTTTTTGCTGCTGCATTGATTTATACTCCAATCTTTCATCCTTTTCTTTTGTTTACTTTGGGTTACATTTGATCTTCTTTCTTCTAGTTTCTTAACATGGAAATTCAAGTCATCCATTTGAGACTTATTTCCCTTTACTAGAAGAGGTTAGTGCTATAAATTTCTCCTGAAGTACTGATTTAATGGCATTTCACACATTTGAATTCTGTGTTTGCATTTTCATTCCATTAAAACTATATTCTATTTCTCTTTTGATTTCTTCTTTGACCAAGTGTATTAATTAGTTTCTAAATATTTGGGCATTTTCCAGATTTTTAAGTTATTGATTACTACTTTAATTCTATTGTGATACTTTATATGACTTGAATCTTTTTAATTTTATTGGAACTTGTTTTGTAGCCAAGAATATAGTCTGTCTTGGTAAATGTTCATATGGACTTGAACTGCTGTTGGGTGGAGTGTTCTATAAATATCAGTTAGATCAAGTCGATTGAGAGTATTGATCCAGTCTTTTATATCTGTACTGATTTTCTGACTTCTTGTTTGATCAACAGAGTTACATTGAAATTTCTGCCTATAATTTTGTTTTTGTTTCTCCTTGCAGTTCTGTCATTTTATTTCTTCATTTATTTTGAAGATCAAGATTTTGAAGGTATATAAACATTTAGGGTTGCTTTGCCTTTATGATGAATTGACCAGTATTTCATTATCACATGGCCTTCTTTTGTCTCTGGTAGTATTCTTTGCTGTGAGTTCTACGTTGTCTGATATTATGTAGACCCTCCAGCTTTCTTTGATTAGTGTTGGCATGGCATATGTTTTTCCATTCTTTTGCTTTCCACTGATTTGTATTTTTATACTTAAAGTTGGTTTCTTTTTCTTTTTTTTTTTTTTCCTGAAAGAGAGAGACAGCGTGAGCAAGGGAGGGTCAGAGAGAGAGGGAGACACAGAATCTGAAACAGGCTCCAGGCTCTGAGCTAGCTGTCAGCACAGAGCCCAAAACAGGGCTAAAACCCAAGAACAGTGAGATCATGACCAGAGCAGAAGTCGGACGCTTAACCGACTGAGCCACCCAGGTGCTCCTGCGAGAGTAAATTTAAAACTAAACATATCATACCAATTCTCTTTCAGTTCTTCTATGTCTGAAAAAACTGTTATTTTTCCTTGAGTTTTGAGAAATATTTTTGTTTGGCATAGAATTTTGTTGACAGTTTTTTATTTTCCACATTTTAAAGAAGCTGTTCCTCTGTTTTCTTGCTATTTTGTTACCAATGAGAAATCTTCTGTCACCCTTAGTTTTCTTTCTGTGTACATAATGTTCTTTTTTCTGGTTGCTTTTAAGATTATTCTATCACTGCTCTTGGCCAATTTGGTTATGATATGTCTTGATGTATTTTTCTTCATATTTCTTGCACTTGGAATTCTTTGAGTTTCTTGGATCTGTAGGTTTATAGTTTTCATAAATTTTGGAGAAAATCTGGACAGTACTTTTTCAGATATCCACTCCAATCCCCCCAATCTCCCTATTCCTTAGGGACTCCTAGTCACATGTGTATTAGGTTACTTGAAGCTGTCCCACAGCTCATTCATGCTCCGTTCTTTTTATCTTTTCTTATTTTCTTTCCGTGTTTCATTTTGGGTAGTGTCTATAGCTGTGTCTCCAAGATCACCAATCTTTTCTTCCACAGTGTCTAACCTGCTGCTAATCCCATCCAGGAAATTTCTATCAGCCATTGTCCGAAAGCTTAATTTGGGTCTTTAAAAATACCCCTTATGTCTCTACATAGCATATTTAATAAACATAACAAGTTTAACCTTCAGGTAGTGCCACAGAACAGTATTCTAGAGAACACAGTTGTAGTAACTTTTAATGTCTTTGCATGCTATCTCTAATAGTTGTGTCAGTTCTGGGTCAGCTTTGATTGAAATTTTGTCCTCATTATGGATGTATTTTCCTTCTTTGAATGCATGGCAACTTTTTGTTCAATGCCAGACATCATGAGTTTTATTGTGGTTGCAGAATATTTTGTATTCCTGTAAATAGTCTTGAGTTTTGTTCTGGACACAGTTGAATTATTCAGACATAGTTCTTTTCAACGCTCTACATTTTTAAAAAGAAACTGGACTGAAGTGGTATTTTGTCAAGGGCTAAGGGTATACCTGAAGCAATAATGTCTCAGTGTTCTGCCCGGTGTCCCACAGATTAAGATGTTTTTCATTGTTGGCTTGCGGGAATGGGAACTTTCCTGGCTCTGGGTGAGCTCCGGCTGCTGCTCCCTCTGATGATTTTTAATGATGCTCTCCCTGGCTTTGGGTAGCTCCCACATATATGTGCTCTGACTAAAATTCTACTGAATTCTTCAGGGGAACCCTGTAAAGTTCTCTGTGTTCCAGTACTCTTATCTGATAACCCTAATCACCTGGGTCAGACTTTAGGCTCCTTATCTTCAACTATGGGATTCCATCAGGCTCTAGCTCAGTTCCATAGCACCATAGCAGGGCAGAAGGAGCAGATAAGAGTGACATCTGGCTTGATGCTGGGTTTTAGAGACATTTGGTTACTGTATAGAAGACTCGGGACTCAACCCTAAAGATACATTCAAGCTGGATCTCAGATGACCTGAGCTGTTCCTTGCTGAATATGTTAAGGAGTAAGTGGAGAGTAAGGGATATTTACTTTTCCACTTCTGGCCTTGCTGCCAACCTGCAAATTGTTGAGGAATAATAATACTGAGCATCATCAGTAACTGGATACTTCTTCATACAGATCAACTACCAACCCTATCAGTGGCCAAAGATGGTTTCTCCAGAAAGGCTCTCAAATAACCAAATGACAGCATGGCACAGTACAAGAAAGATTCGGCCCCCTTGCCTCCAGCTGATTTTTCTCGAGAGAGAAGTAATGAGGAGCCAGGTCTCCGTCCTAAGATGTCAACCCACCAAGGAGTGGAATGAAGGAGGATTACGACTGACATGTAGTCAGTCAGGCTTTGCTTCTCAAAGCGTAGTCTCCAGAGCAGCAGCACTGAGGAGTCTTTTAGAAATGCAGACAATCATGAAAGAGAGAGAGGGAAAGAAAGAAAAGGAAGAAAGAAGGAAAGGAAGGAAGGAAAAGAAGGAGAGAAAGGGAAGGGAAGGAAGAAAAAGGAAAAAGAAGGAAAGGAAAGAAAACAGAAATGCAGACCATTAAGCAGTTTGCTTAGCGGGACGGTGAGGCTCTGCACTGCGGGAAGAACCCCAGCTGTTTCACGTGTACGTTAACGTTTGGGGAGCACCGGTCCGCCCGGCCAACAGTAACACATTATACTCTTGAAGTGTGCGGAGAGTAAATCTCATGCTAAGTGTTGCTTGCACAACAAAACAAAACTTTAAGCTTGAGGAGCACGGCTGTAAATATGAGCGGTGACCCGCGCCCTCTAGTGGCCGTCCAGGGAGCTTTTAAATGTTTTCTTTTTTTAGGACCTTTGCCCAGAACTGCCGAAACATCGAACATTTAAACCTCAATGGTTGCACCAAAATCACTGACAGGTAAGGAATGAGAATGAGTTCGGTGGCGAATTGACTCTGGGGAGCGTGAGGGGAGAGAAACATGGTTGAAAATATCTTTAGTGTGTCTGCTCTTTTCCAGCACGTGTTATAGCCTTAGCAGATTCTGTTCCAAGCTGAAACATCTGGATCTGACTTCCTGTGTGTCCATAACAAACAGCTCCCTGAAGGGGATCAGGTAAGAGTACCTGCCATCGGGAGAAACGCCCAAGCCTATGAGCAAACCTTTCTAACGGTCCCATTGGAGCAAGAAAAGAGGAGGCTCGGGTCACCGAGATTCGCTGTCCCCCGCGCGGCTTGTCACACCGGGAAGTGGGCTGTGTGGGGGCGGGGATGCCCACGCGCCCGCCGTCTCTCGTTCCCGCAGCGAGGGCTGCCGAGGCCTGGAGTACCTCAACCTGTCTTGGTGTGACCAGATCACGAAGGACGGCGTCGAGGCGCTGGTGCGGGGCTGTCGGGGCCTGAAAGCCCTGCTCCTGCGGGGCTGCACCCAGGTACCGAGGGGCTGAGGGGGCGCGGCAGTCCGGCTCGCGGGTGCGTCCCGGCGGGCGACGCCGCTGCCGTCTCTCCCGGGTCGCCCCTGTTCCCTCAGCTGGTTCCCCCCCTTGTGTTCTCTGTCCCCTCAGTTAGAAGATGAAGCCCTGAAGCACATTCAGAATTACTGCCACGAGCTCGTGAGTCTCAACTTGCAGTCCTGCTCGGTAGGTCACGTGAGCGCCTCCCGCCCACGCCCCGCCCCTCCCCAGGGGGTCGGCGCAGGCCCCGCCTCCAGGCGCCCAGGTTTCCTGTTGCGTCCTCACGGGACCTGCGGGTTTGCCACAAGACGCGGAAACCAAATGGCCGATACAAAGCCACTGACATTTCCCCCTAAAATTGGGGTCTTGGTTTCTTTTAAGATCTCAGGAATTGTGTGAACTAGTCACTGTGACCTGAACAAATTCATGGTAAAGTCTCGGTGTTTTAGGGTGTTTTTTTTTTTTTTTAATCCTAAAATGGGGATCGTGACGCTTCTCACATCGCAGCGGGTAAAGCGAAATGACCAGTGTGACAGCGCTTTGAAAAATAAAGGATAAAGGCAAGGCCGAGGTGTGAGGCACCGCCATTGTCGGTGCCGTCCAGGACGCCTGCCACCTCCTCCCGGCTGCCTGGGCCGGAAGCTGAGGAAAGTAAGAGGAATTGCCTACACTCGCTGCTGAGTGAGTGAATCATAGAAGCCGTTGGAAGCCTTGTGGGTGGGAGATGGAGGAGAACCGTCTTCTGGACAAATAATGACCTGCTGGGCGCTGTTGGGTGTTAAGAGCCTGAGCTGCTGGAGGGGAGCAGGGCCAGGGGACCCCCACGGGATGTGAATGTGCACCTTACAGTCCCTCAGGCCGCGAGTCCTTTCACTTGCTATTGTCTGAACCATTTGAGGGCGTTTTATAAACATATACATACATGACCTTATACGGTAGATATTTAAAGCCTTAGTCTGTAGAAATTCAACCAAAAATTATTCTGTCACTTAACCGGGCAAGTCTTTCGAGCCCTTTAATCTGATTTGTCACACAAGTTTATAAATTTTCCCTGAAAAAAAAAAAAAATCAAATGAACTCTGGGTCGGAAAATGGAATCTCGCTAGCGCGGTGCCAGGGTAACGAGCGCGTGTCCACCCTGGGCTTCGCCCTGTGTCGTGTCAGTGAGTCAGCGGACGAGCGGCAGTGGCTGGCGCCGCCGCCTCCTGACGGCCCTCCCTGCCTGGGTTTCCGCAGCGCGTGACGGACGAAGGGGTGGTGCACATCTGCCGCGGCTGCCATCGGCTGCAGGCCCTGTGCCTGTCCGGCTGCAGCAACCTCACAGACGCCTCCCTCACGGCCCTGGCTCTCAACTGCCCGCGACTCCAGTGAGTGCCTGGCCCGACTGGCGGGGGGGCCCTCCCGCAGGAAGGGGGAGGTGGCGGTGCAGGAGCCGGTGCTTGTGCTCTCGCCGGCTGGTGAGAGGGGTTGGGGCGGGACCGGGCGCCATCCGGCTCACTTAGGGATGGACGGGAGGACACGAAGCTGCCCGCGGCCGCCAGGGAGGCTGCACCGTGAGTCTTGTGGACTGGACACGTGTGCGCGCCCGATTTGCCTCATCCTGTTAGGATGCTGACGTCAGGGTGGTCTGCTGGGGTCAGAAGGGTAGCCTCACGTCCAGATGCTCCCAGAGTCTCCTCCAGGCCGGTTGCTAAGTGGACAGAAGTGGGGGAGAGATCACAGTCTCCTTATTCATCACCTTCTCTAGCAGAAGGATGTCTTGTTTTTAACAAATAATGATTGGTTTTCTGACTTTCCAATAGTACCGTGACTATGAAAACTTTAATAATGGCACCCAAATGCTGACGCTGACATCAGTTGAACTCCTACATGGGTATCTCATTCAGCCATCCCCACATCTCTAGGAGAATAGGCGCTGTTATTCTCACTTACTTGGCAGAGGAGAAACCAGGACTCAAAGAAAATCACATACTATAAGGGGTCGCATGATGAGGAGGAAGTAAAAGTAGAGTTTGAACTTGAAACTTTGACCTCAGAGCCAGCAATCTTAACCCCTGTGCAAGAGGCGGAAAAAGATTCTTCTTTTGTTATTTATTTGTCCGTGAAACTGACCCGTTTCTCCTGCTTCCAGCAGTTTCACATCTTCTAAGCATTGTCTGTTGTTGTCTTTTGCATTAGGGATGATCCTGGGTAATTTTGATATTTTTAAATAGTAGAAGGAATGTGGATGATCAAAACTGGTCAGAAGGTGGTCAGAATTACTGCTACAAGGGCGTATTTAACTTTAAAATGTTATTTATTCCTCCGACCCTGTTAAGCATGGGTATGGAGAATCAATCCATGTTTTTCATTGGCTGCAAGAAAGCTAACTGGGGATTTCACTAAATCCAGTATATATCAAGATGATTTTGTTGAGTAAAAGTTCATTTTAATTGTGTTTAAAAGTCAACAAATATGGGGGGCTCAGCTGGTTAGGTGTCTGACTCTTAATGTCGGCTGAGGTCTTGATCTCAGGGTTGTGAGTTTGATCCCTGCTTATAAAAAAGAGTCAACAAATACTGGAATAATACTTGAAAATGACACAGCAACAACGACCCGGTATTGTGGAGAGATTGCTGGGCTGCTACCCAAGTTGGGGCTGGAACTTTGGGACTTAGGGGAAGCCCACATTTCTTCTTGCTCCTCCTTCCCCTTCGTCTGTGCAGGGGACAGCTGTCCTCAGGACTGTTCCAGAAGCAGGGGTGTGTCAGCAGAATAAAGTCGAGAGTGTGCATCATGAAGTATGTGTTTCTGTGGTTAACCAGTCACTGCCTTTTCCTCCCGTGCGCTGCGTATCCCAGGATTTTGGAGGCTGCCCGATGTTCCCATTTGACTGATGCAGGCTTTACGCTTTTAGCTCGGGTAAGGCAGAGGTTTCTAAAAGCAAAACCAAACTAATTCACCTCCCTCATTTGCAAAGGACTCACAGTGGTTTTGGAATGTGCAAAATATGTGTGCCATCAGAGGAGAGGTGCTGGGTAGAATAGAGTCCTCGGGGTGTGCTTTCCTGTTGGCTCGGAAAGCTAAGGGGGTCCTCTAGAAGGTTCCAGAGCAGTCTAGACCTCACTGTCACTTGGTCAGTTGGGAGCATGGTGAGGAGAACTTCCTCCCTGGCAGGACTTGGCCTTCCTCCTGCAAACCCTGACTGTGCCTCCCAGGAGCCTCCTCTAGTGAGCTGTGCTCTGCCTCCCCTCCCTTTTCCCCGTCACCCTGCAGACGGCGGCCATCATGGAGGTCCCCGGGGCCTGCTGCTGGGAACCCATGAGCTTCTGGGGATGGTGATACACTCCCTTCCTCCTACCCTAATCCTCACCCGTCCACACTGTGCCTGAGCGCCCCATGCCCATGCCTTCCCAGAGCCTTGTCTGTGGCTAAAGTGTACAGATTATATCCGTGAGCCACTAGGAGGGGGGAGGCCACTACCTTTCCAGGTGAGAGGAGGAGAGGAGCCCAGGATGGCCACCTTCCCATTTCTGAAGGGAGTGTGATTCACAGGGCACTTGCTCAGAAGTGCCAGCTCAGCCTAGGGGCAGGGCGGGCTCCTTCATGGAAGAGAAGAGGACACTGGGCCGGTCCTCAGAGGGACAGGGCGCCTTCCTTCATGGAAGAGAAGAGGACACTGGGCCGGTCCTCAGAGGGACAGGGCGCCTTCCTTCATGGAAGAGAACAGGACACTGGGCTGGTACTCAGAGGGACAGGGCGCAGCACCAGTGCTGTCCTGACCACTCACCACATGGTGGGGGTGGTTTTGTGGATTTTTTTCAGAATTGCCATGATCTGGAGAAGATGGATCTTGAAGAATGCATCCTGGTGAGTAGACTCCTGACATGCTGTGTAGGGCTCCCCCTCTGTCCTGACAGCCGGGCATGGGCAGACACCCCACCTGGCTGTGGTCTGCACCCTACCCACCCCAGTGTGTGTCTCAGGAACCCGTAAGGGCCATGACCATGGGATGCATGAACTTGGGCTATTCTCAGCCATCAGAGCTACAGCTGAGATGTTCAAGGTAGCTCCTTTTTTTTTTTTTTTTTGGCCAAACATTAAAAGCCATATATGTTTCAGAGAACTGAAGGAGAAATAAGCTTGCATGCCCAGTGATGAGGTGACTATGGAGTAGAACCGTGGGGAACCCCCCCTTACCTGCTTCCTTTCTGTCCCCTGTCCCTGGGCCCTCTTGGGGCACCAGAGGAGAGGCAGAAAAGCAGCTTTGTGACTGCAGGAGCGGGCACACTGGAGGTTGTCAGCAGTGAGAGGAGCTCCCGGCCTGAGGGTGCCTGCGATGAGTTTTTCGTTGTTTTACACCTTTTGATTCTCACGTTCAGGAGGAACCAAAATTGGGTGTTAAGTTCTGGCGTAGGAGCCACACTGACCCCGCATGTCTCTCTGCAGATAACCGACAGCACGCTCGCCCAGCTCTCTGTGCACTGCCCCAAGCTGCAAGCCCTGGTGAGTCTGGGACTTCTGTGGCCCTGGTCACCGCTTAGGGATGAGAGAACTCTCCCCCCGCAGCAGCAATCAAGTTGGTTTTCCCTTCTGTAAAAGGCATCGTCATTCTTGGTTTGAGACCACGTGGGAGACAGGGTATCTAACTGTCCCTGACTTCATCTCGGGACGCAAACTGGATGTCGAGGCCGCTCCATTCGCGTCCGATGTCTCGGGGAGAGGGAGACTGCATGTTTCGATGATAAGATGTAGACAAAGATGGAGGCCGTCCTTGGGCTGTATTTGCATTCCATACCTGCTCTCATGCATCTAGAGGGAAGAGGAATGAAAATATCTTGCAGGATCCCAAGTGAGCAGTGCAAAGTGCCACGGAGGCTCTTAGGCATGCAGACGCCTCCCGTATGTTTCACATGTGGCTGTAAGACGGAGGGCCCGCGGGACGGGATGGGGTCCTTGCATTCATCGGGCCAGCCTGTGTTAGCTGTGCCCACTGGATGCACTGTCTCATTTTCTTCCGCCCACAGCCTGGTGGGAGGGGGGGACATCCCCATGTTATCAGTGACGACACCAAGGCTCAGAGCAGTGAAGAAACTTGCCCAAAGCCACACAGCTGCTCAGAGGCCCCAGCTCTCTGGGCCCCTGTGGAGTCTGGCCTTCCTACTCCCCCTGAGACACACACCAGGGTTTTCGTAAGCTAGAGAAGCTGTTGTCTTTCAAACTAGCTCTGTCCTCAAGGGCCAGAACTTTCTATAACATCATTAAAACTCCTTTGGCCTTGAGTTGTTCACAGTTCTGGGGGTTACTTTTTTGCTTGGGCACAGGTACAGTTGGGCCTGGGACAGCTCTGGGACTTTTTGTGTGTGAAGGGTTTGGGGTCAGGTTGAATCCAAGCCCTCTGAATGGTTGCCCTGTGTGTAGTGCATATCGTTTTGTAGCGCTCCCAGATGTGTTCTGATCCAGTCTTGTAATTGACAGGACCTGTCACTCAGGTGTGCTTCCTCCCACTACCCTCTCTACTCCTCTCCCCTGCACCCTGGGCTCTCAGAGGTGGGAAACTCAGGAGCCCTGCCTTTATCTCCTACATCAGCCCCTCCTCTTGGCTGCCCAAGGGCTCTCTCTGCCCTGCCCTGGCCTCGGACCCCCTGGCCTTCATTAGCATCTACAAGACATCTTAGATCAGGGTGGGGGCCGAGCAGGGGTCCACTGAGCGCAGCAACGCCTCCTGCCAGCTCTCTGCCTCCTCCTGGGGGTGCAGGGCCCGCCGGCACCTTAGCGGGCACGTCTGACAAATACCAGGTGTTCTCACAGCAGGCATGCTGGGGACTGAAAGTCTTCTCCATCTCGTCCCCTATGCTTATACAAGCTCCTTCCAGAACCAGGACTTAGAGTGAAGGATAAGCCAGAATAAAGCCAAAATTCCAAGATAAGAGCCCAAAATAAAAACCAAGGAGGATTATTAGCAGAAAAGCAGGGAAACGGTGGCAGTTGGAATCTAAACTTAGCTTTGACGGTGCATAATTGCCAAGACAGAACAAGGAAATGGTCTGGATCACAGCTGGTCCACTTTCATCTCATTCACTCTGCGAACACCTCTTGACCGCCACGTGCCAGGTGCTCTTCTAGGCCTGGAGAATAAAAAGGCAGTTCATAGGGGGCGCCTGGGTGGCTCAGTTAGTTAAGCTTCTGACTCTTGATTTCAGCTCAGGTTGTGGTCTCACGGTTTGTGAGTTCCTGCCTGGCATTCTCTCTCTCCCTCTCTCTGCCCGTCCTCCTCTCGCACCCTCTCAAACTTTAAAAATAAATAAATAAAACCTTTTTAAAAATTAAAAATAAATTCATCAGGAGAGACTAACTTTATGCTCCCCCTGAAACTCCTGAGAGGTGGTCTGGATCCATGTTTTGGGGGTACCATGCCCCAGGAGCACGAGGTGCTCTGGTGAGGGACAGCAGTCCCCTGTCAGCCCTGGGGTGAGAGCACGGGCTTTGGGAGAAGTGCGTGTTTACTGCAGCAGCTCGGACAGCACCCATGGGTGGCGGCCGGCAGTCCCGTACGTGCCAGCAGCCCAGCAGGAGGATGGCAGGCTGAGAGTGCGCCCCGTGGTCATGCGCCACCTCCCCACGGGCCTCCTGCCGAACCAAGTGGCCCCACTGGAGCAGCCCCGTCCCCACCAGTGGGCGGCTACCCTTATTGAGGGAGGCCTAGACAGCGCTGTCTTTGACAGAGCTTGGATGAGCTTCTCCTGGGCCCACGTTGGGCGCTTCTACCCTAGCCTGCAGAGATGAGCGGAGACAGTTACTATTGGGGGAAAAACTCAGTAGATGGAATTTTGAAAAGCGGCTTTTGTATCTTACTGAAGATCTCCAAGCAGGAAGAGGGAAGTGACCCCTAGTTCAAAGCCAGGTGACCATCACATCTCAGTCCCCACAGGTTCAGTTTCCCCAGGTTGTCGTTAGACATACCCTGGCTTCTAACCTGTAGGCTACGTCTCTAGTAGGTTCTGTTGATTTTCACGCTTGCTTTGTTTCCTGCTTTCCTTTTCAATACCAGAGCCAGTTTTCTGAGACTTTTAAAAAGCTTAGTATACAACCCATTTGTCCTGGAGACTACCAAAGAAGAACTTTAGCAGTTAAAGAGTAAGGAATATACCCTAAAAATAAAAGCCCCCTTACTGTCTTTATTGCTATAGAATTATGATCAAATTGGCTAGTGGTTTATCAATTTTGTTAATTTTTTTCAAAGAACCAGCTTCTGGTTTCATTGATGTGTTCTACTGTTTTTTTGGTTTCAATAACATGGATTTCTGCTCTAATCTTTATTATTTCCTGTCTTCTGCTGGTTTGGGGTTTTATTCGCTATTTTTTTTACCAGCTGTTGGAGGTGTAAGGTTAGGTTGTGTATTTGACACCTTTCTTCCTTCTTTAGAAAGGCCTGGATTGCTTTATACTTCCCTCTTATGACCCCCTTTGCTGCGTCTCAGAGGTGTTGGGCTGTGGTGTTCTCATTTTCATTGGCTTCCATGTACTTTTTAATTTCCTCTTTAACTTCTTGGTTAGCCCATTCATTCTTTAGCAGGATGTTCTTTTGTCTCCAAGTATTTATTATCTTTCCAGATTTTTTTCTTGTGGTTGATTTGAGTTTCATAGCACTGTGGTCTCAAAATGTGCACAATATGATCTCGATCTTTTTGTACTGGTTGAGGGTTGATTTGTGCCTATTCTGGAGAACGTTGCATGTGCCCTGGAGAAGAATGTATATTCTGCTGCTTTAGGATGAAATGTTCTGAATGTATCTGTTCATCTGGTCCAGTGTGTCATTCAAAGTCATTGTTTCTTTGTTGATGTTCTGTTTAGATGATCTGTCGACTGCTGTAAATGGGGTGTTGAAGTCCCCTACTATTATGGTATTACTATCAATGAGTTTATGCCTGTGATTGATTTGTATATTTGGGTGCTTCCACATTTGGAGGATAAATGTTTACAATTGTTAGGTCTTCTTGGTGGATAGACCCCTTAATTATGATATAATGCCCTTCTTCATTTCTTGTTACAGTCTTTATTTTAAAGTCTAGATTGTCTGATATAAGTATGGCTACTCTGGCTTTCTTTTGGTGATCATTAGCATGATAGATGGCTCTCCATCCTATTGCTTTCAATCTGAAGGTGTCTTCAGGTCTAAAGTGGGTCTCTTGTAAACAGCATATAGATGGATCCTGTTTTCTTATCCATTGTGTTACCCCATGTCTTTTGATTGGAGCATTTAGTCCATTGACATTTAGAGTACTGAAAGATATATTTATTGCCATTATGTTTCTTATAGAGTTGGAGTTTCTGGTGGTGTTCTCTGGTCCTTTCTAGTCTTTGTTGCTTTTGGTCTTCTTCCCTCCCCCCCCATCTTTTCTCCCCTTAGAGAGTCCCCCTTAAAATTTTCTTGCAAGGCTGGTTTAGTGGTTCCAAACTCCTTTAATTTTTGTTTGTCTGGGAAACTTTGAATCTCTTTTTCTATTTTGAATGACAGCCTTGCTCGATAGAGAATTCTTGGCTGCATATGTTTCTCATTAAGCACATTGAATATATCCTGCCACTCCTTTCTGGTCTGCCAAGTTTCTGTGGATAGGTCCATTGCAAACCTGATCTGTCTTCCCTTGTAAGTTAGGAACTTTTTGTCCCTTTCTGTTCTCGTGATTCTTTCCTTGCCTGAGTATTTTGTGAATTTGACTATGATATGCCTTGTTGATGGTCGGTTTTTGTTGAATCTTGTGGGAGTCCTCTGTGCTTCCTGGATTTTGATGTCTGTGTTTTTCCCCAGGTCAGGAAAGTTTTCCACTATGATTTGCTCACATAACCCTTCTACCACTTTTTCTTTCTCTTCCTATTCTGGGACCCCTGTTTCTGATGTTGTTCTTTTTTAATGAGTCACTGCTTTCTCTTATTCTTAAATTGTGTTCTTTTGCTTTAGTCTCCCTCTTTTTTTCCTGCTTCATTATTCTCCATAGGTTTGTCTTCAGTATTGCTGATTTGCTGCTCTGCCTCATCCATCCCTGCAGCTGTGGCATCCATTCAAGACTACAGCTCAGTTAAAGCATTTTTTATTTCATCCTGACAAGCTTTTGCTTCTTTTATCTCTGTAGAGAGGAATTCTAACCTATTTTTGACCCTAGCTATATTCTTATTTTTGTGATTCTAAATTCTGGTTCAGACATCTTGCATGTATCTGTGTTGGTTAAGTCCCTGGCTGTCATTTCTTCCTGCTCTTTCTTTTGGGGTGAATTGCTTTGTTTTGTCATTTTGAAGGAAGAAAAGGAATTACTAAGGTAAAAAAATTTTAAATAAAAAAATTGAAAACACACACATACACACACACACACAAATCAGATAAATAATGCTAGATCCTAGGTGTGTTTTGGTTATTGAAAGGAGCTTGACTGATTAGAGAAAAAAGAGAAAAAGAAAAAAAAAGTTTGAAAATTTGGGAAAATGAATATAATGAAATAGGATAACTTGAA